TAACTACATTTTTACAGCCTCTCCAAACTGCGTTTTTTTCACTCTGCACATCAAGCTGTTTCACCATGCTGAATGTGTCCTCCAACAACTTCCTCCTCCTCTGTACACTGTTTTGGAGCCATGCCGCATTTATTTTTTGTCCAATTATATTTAATTTTAGAGTGACTCTACATACTTTAGGCATTTTTAACACATTTCCATGGTGTCCCCCCTGTTTAAACACAATTCCTCCAAAAACTCTCAGAATATTTGTCATGTGGCTGCTGGTCACAGCTGAGTCAGTCATAGCTTCTTGGTTGCGCTGAGGAGCACAGAATTTGTTTTGTTTTTTTACAGAATTTGGTTACAGCAAATGTTCCATTTTGAAGGAATTGTTGCCTGATGAAATGGCACGTTACATATGATTAGATCTTATTCTCTCTGTTTGCACAGTTTTGAGCTCTGATATATAGTGTAATCTTTTTAAAGATAACATGTCCTGCTGGTCATATTTATGTACTCGTGTGCCTCCACATTTACACCAACTGTCACTTCATGCTGCTTTTTTTTAAATATATATATAAGCTGTGATGACCCCTGAAGTCATCTTGTGGGTGGTTCTAGTTTGTCTATCGGTTCTGTGAGTGGCTGGTTGAGGTAATCAGGAGCGCCTGTGACACCCAGTGTGTTCCTGGGTTACTTGGGCTGACTGCAGTCTAATCTTTCTCTACTCCGCAGGTAACACACCGGTCTGGTTATGAGGTCGTGTTCTTTGTTTAGGATGTTTGCATTTACAACACTTGCACAAACATAATTCATGCATACATCACGCACACACACAAACACACACACACACACACACACACACACACTACTGACTCTAAGTATTCTCCCAACCCCATATTGGTTTGGTTTTTAATTTGGTATAATTTAAGTGAATAAAGACAAGCTTTAATTTTTGAAACTTGGTGTGTCTCTCCAGCCGTCTTGAGCCAGGTCGTAACAAAGCCATTTCTTAACATCCCTCCGTTTGTCACTTGTACTTTCCATCTTGTTTCTGTCTTTACTATCAGTCTCTGTCCTCTTTTTCTCAGCCACATATCAACAGTCGCTCCCTCTCACATATCTGTCTTTCTTTGTGTCACTGCAGCAAACACATGCGTCTTCCTTCTGTCTTCCTCTTCTGGCTTCTTCTCCTTGTGTCATTTGCTCACCAGTCGCGCCTTTATTGTCTTACATGAGCAAATTTGCTTCAAGAGGGCACATCGACTTCAAGTTTCCTCTTGTTTGTGATGTTTTTCTTACAAACTAGGCTAAATATTCCACCGCACATCGCCTTATTATCACATTGTTTCCCCAGTGGTGGCAAGTCATTAAGTACATTCACTCAAGAAGTGCACTGAAGTAGAATTTTAAGGTACTTTACTTGAGCATTTTAAATTTTATGCTAGTTTCTCCTCACAGTCCAGCACATTTCAGAGGCAAATATTATACTTTATGCTCCTTTGCATGCTTCTACTTCTTTTTTAAGATGCAGAATTGGCTTTTGAAATCCAACACAAGGCTTCTCTAAAAATGCAGCCGGCTCATGTTTCACATGTCAGCAAGTTAACAGCTCCATGAAATACAGATTCTACCCTTTAAACTTCTGTTTTGACTCAATAAATGTTCCAGTGATCCAATATCTCAGCAGAAATCAAAGACTAGAGAAAAACTGGAAACAGATTTGGGTATCAGAATGTAGTTTTTTTCATCTTTTTGCTCCCATGAATCAGATTTATTTGCTGTCCCTGGATATAAAACTGGAAATAAGCAGCAGCAGCTACAGCAGTAACCTGCTGCTGACACACTGAAGCTTCACTTTTATTAATATAATGATAAGAGACTTCTGTATACTTTTACCTTTGTAGGATTTCTAACGCAGGGCTTATACTTATAAATGAGCATTTTTACATTGCTGTTTTGGTGCTTTTAAGTAAAGAATCTAACAACTTCTTCCACCACTGTGTTTTCTTGTTGTATAACCAAGTTGGGACCAAATCTATTAAACTTTAATTGCTTCTTAACTGAGAAACTGAACCAGAAATGCAATTTTGCCTGCGTTAACTGGTTGGTTTTCTTCTACAATTACATGTTATGATGAAGTATTAGTGCAGAATACAATAAATACAATATCCTCATCATTAATTTTTAACGTAAACATAAAACTTGAATTTGAAATATGAAAGATTAGGAGGAGACATGTCACAATCCAGCGTGCTGACATGTTAGGACTCCTTAAATAGTTTTTCCAGCTGAATGTTTCATACAAAATCACATTTTTCTTTGTGTTTAGGAAGCGAGAAGAAGAGCATCGGAGGAGAGAAGCTGTGCAGCAGGTGTCGGCGGCAGCGGCGGCTGCAGAGAAACGGAAAGTTCCGCTGGTGAGATCAGAGCAGGAGAAGCTCTGCTTAGTGAACATCATGGAGGATTTATCCATCAATGATTCTCTGGTGGAAACAAAGAAGACGTGCAGGGCTGAACGCACCAAGAGCAAAGAGGAGAGACACAAAGGTACAGAAAAGCTTAAAATGGTAATGAGTTTACAGTTATGACATGAACCCTCTGAACTATGAGCAGTTTCTTGGTGTTTCATTTGCTCCTTGTCACATTTTTCACTGTAATATAAAGTCCTGCACTTCTATGGAAACAGCACAGCCATGACTAGAAGAAGAGAGAACTCAGAGAAAATAGAAAAACGCAAAGTGAAAATTGAATTTATTTATTTATTTTTCACAAAAAAAAAAAAAAATTTGTAATTAGCATGTACAACAGTTTTCCAAGTGCCCACATGTGATACCAAACCTGGAAGAAAAAACAATAATTCTACATACTGTGAATATTTTCCTACTTTTCTCTTCATTTTATTTCCATACTTGTCTCCTCTCTGCTCCGTGTAAACACTTCCTGCAGTTCAGCCGTAAATTTCCAGGAATTTTTGTCACGTGACTGTTGTTTGCAGCTGAGTCACTGATGGCTTCACGGTTGCAACCAGGAGCACAGAATTATTTGTTTTTTACAGAATCTGATTAGTGTAAATGGTTTTTGTTGAAATTTAAAATGAGTAATGTAGAATAAAGTAATTTTGATTAAATATTGTGACTGTAAGCTTACACTTGGTTATTTTTCCTGAGGAAACTGCACCTCACAGATGATTTAAGGACCGTCAGAGAGTTGAAAATCAGTTTTTATACTTCCTGGTTTTAATTAAAGGTGTAGTTTTGGCATTTTTTTTAAATAGAAAAGACGCATTTAAACCTGCTGGTGTGTTTTGGGGGTTCATGGGGTTAACTGAGATTTCATTTATCTACACTGTTCTGTAAATTTGTATGAGATATGATGTATTTTTTATGCCAAATAACGGAAAGACTTTATTTGTGTCCCAGCAGCCCACAAGAGCAGGTCCTCTAGAAGAAGTAAAACAGCTGAAACACACGAAGCTCCCGAAGCGTCGAGTCCCAGTTCTCTTCAGACCACCAGGCTGAAGGAGCTTCTGTCTCCTTCCAGCTGCAGACAGACGCCCGGCATCAAACCTGCAGCCGCCTCCGTGCCCAAAGTCAAGGAGCACCCTTCCTCCAACGCATGCACTCCCTCCGCCGAACCCGAATCCAGCACCAGAGAAAGCATCCCTCTGAAAAAGAGCGCACAGACTGCCCACACCTCTGCACAAAAACGCCGAAGCCACAAGGAGCAGACTTCAGAGAGGGCCAAAGATCAAACTCATGCTGCCTCATTAAGAAGCAGTTCATCCCCTCTGAGAAAGACTGCCACACATGCGCCGGCACGCACACACCGGGAACACGACAAAGAGCAGCGCAGGAGGAGGACCGAGGCTGCACGCATCATCCAGCGGGCCTGGCGAAGGTGAGTTTACTTTTCTTGAACCTTCGGGGGCCGTTCGGGAGCCGAAGCCTTTGTGACTGTGGGAGATTTTCGGCGCCATGTGGTGCCCACATGTGCCCACGTACATCCCGCAACACCCCCGTCCTCGGTCTGGATGCCATCAGCGCTGCAGTGGTGGAGGGGAGAGCGTGGGAGAGGGGTGAGACGAGGAGGCAGGGGACAGCGAAGCCTATAATCTAGAACTTTCATACTAGTTTAACAAGAGGCTAAAAGTTCAGCCGGGCCGTCTAATCGCTACCAGCAGCTTCTCTTTGCTTTTCTCTCCCTCTGGGTTTCTCTTAGCGGCTGCCAGTCCGCCGCAGGAGGCCCTCTGCTTCTGCTCAGCTCTACAATTACACTGCGAATAATGCTGCCTATTAACTGCCTTGAATAAACTGTTTACTTAGTTTACGCTTAGTGAGCATTAGTGTGAGGACTTGCCAGCTTTGAGGCCTTTGAACGCCGTCTGAGAGGGTGTTTTTTTTTTTTGTTTAGTTTTTTTTTATTGAAAAAGTCGGATGGATGGATGGTGTTTGTCTGCAGGTTTCGTGCACGCGGACGGAGAGGAGCCAACGCATGCGTCGAGGCGGAGTCGGGCGAGTCGAGCCACGCCCAGAACAGGAAGAAGGTGGAAACGAGAGCTCAACCCGCCAAAGCAGCAGCGAGCAAGAGCTCCGTGCTGCAGAGCATCTACGGTGAGATAATTTGCACTTTCCTGATTTGTTCTGTGAGCTCGTTATTGCAGCAGACGAGGTTCTCGGCAACCGGAAACAAGAGGCGTGACTCCTATTTTGGGGCATGACTGTGTGCTATAAAGCCTTTTATTGCTGCAAAAACTCAAATGTTTGTTGCTTTTCTTTGCAAGGAGACGAAAACTTTGATCTGGCTGCTTCTGCCTCCTGTTGTGTGGACGGATGCATTAGTTTGGAGCAACAGCAGTCGGCTTGAAGCTTTCCTCTGCTTTTTTTTTCTTTGATTGCTTTGAGTTTTTGTGCATGGTGATATAAGGCTTTATAGTGTACAGGTTATTGCGAGTTTTCAGGTGAAGCTGAGAACTTTTTGAAGCCTCCTTGTACACCTTCATGGCACATACTTCTGCTGGTTTTTAAAGCCTTGAATGGTTGAACTCCTGCCTGTATCTGTGATCCGCTGGCTCATGGTCTTTACTGAACCTTTGCTCTTCGGGCCCCTCAGCTGTGTTAGTCCCTGTATGGAGACCCAAGGAAGGCAAACCCAGAATCCACTTCTAAATCTCTTCTTATTCATAACTGATGGTATGGCGCTAACTCATCACAATCAAACAATCCAACTAAATTCATCGTTTGATTTCACTTCAGTCCTGTGGATCTGCACTGCGCTTCAACACTACTTGATGTCATGGCAACACCATGAGAAGCGCCTCGATGCTGAGCGGCTATTCCAGACTGGACCGCTTTTTAAGAGCGATGCTGCAGTTAATTGCTGCGGTAATGTAATGTGGTATTAATCAGGGTGATGGCACCACACCATCCAAATAACGACTTTGCAATTCCCCCAACACTGAGTATTAATGTTTCTGGTGGCTGAAAACAGTGAGCACATGCGAGCTGTGACCTGTGAGTCTCACACCCACCTGCTGCCGATCCGACAGTGAATCACTTTTTGAGAGGGTTTTTACTGTGACAGCAGAGAGATGAGACAGTTAGACGATGATGTGAAGCAAAGAGCTCTGGCCAGACTGGAATCAGGAAGCTTGCAGCATGTAGTTGGCATTTTGAACCACCCAAGTCAGAGCCGTCTCGTGGCGTGTTATGGGTTTGAAACACTCCTGTGTGTCTGCAAACTAGTGCAACATGTAAGACTTTGTTAGGGACAAAGTTCTGGATTCATTTCCATCCAAACGTTGTCGCTGGTGTTTCCACTCGTCAAGACAAGCAGGAAACCTCAGAGGCTGAAAAGTGAACCTTAATGTTAAATGTCCGACTTTACAGTAGAAATAAACATTCATGACAACCGTACAGGGGTGGGTTATGATATAAGTCACCTGTTTAAATCCTACTAAGGTTTACACACAATTAACCCTCTGAACTCCAAGCAGTTCCTTTGTTCCTGTTTTTACAAATGTTTCACTGCAACATAAGGTCCTGCACCTCTATGGAAACAGCACAACCATGACTCGAAGTCGGGAGAACTCTCTTCTGTGCAATAAGACACAGTTAGAATGGCATAAATCCTAAAAAAGCAGCGGCTGTGGTTCAGGTGGTAGAGCGAGTCGGTTAATGATTGGAAGGTAGGTGGTTCGGACCGTCCTGTAACCTGTGTCGTGATCGTTGTGTCCTTGGGCAGGACACTGCACCACCCTGCCTGGTGTGAATGCGTATGAATGGATTGTTTGAGGTGGTGGTCGGAGGGACCGTAAACGCCTCTGCCAGTCTGCCCCGGGGCAGCTGGGTCTACAATCGTAGCTACCACCACCAGAATGAATGTGTGTGAATGAATAATTGACAGTGTAAAGCAGGGGTGGGCAATCCTGGTTCTCGAGGGCCGCAATCCTGCATGTTCTAGATGTTTCTTTCTTCCAACACACCTGATTCAAATGATCAGCTCATCATCAAGCTGCCTGATAACGATCCTGATCATTTGAATTAGGTGTGTAGGAAGAGGGAAGCATCTAAAACATGCAGGGCTGTGGCCCTCCAGGACCAGGAGTGGAGACCCCTGGTGTAAATTGTCATTGAGTTGCTCCTTGAGTTAGAATTGGGACCGTAAAAATGAAGAGATTTTTTTTGTTTAATAGAATCCAGTGCAAATTTTGGTACATTTTCGCATGTGACGTGTGGAATAAAGTGATTTTGATCAAATACCATGATTTAAAGCTGCTTAATTCCAAGTCCCTGAATGTTTGTTAAGTGACTTGTGATCTCAGCTGAGTCAATCATGGCTTCTTGGTTGCGTAGAGGTGCATAGATTTTTTAGTTTTTCTGAGATTCAGTTGTTATTTTTGGCAAATGTTTCCAAATAAGAAGTGCAGAAAAAAGCAAGTGTGGTGAAATATGATTTTAAGATTATTTCTGGCAAACTAAATGGACATCGAGAAAGTTGAAATCTGGCAATTTTCTCTAGTTTTACAGTTTTTAGCTCTGGTAAATGGTGTAATTTTGGTTTTCATAAGCAGGTTTTAGGGGTCTGATGGTTCACTGAAGTCTCTTGAGTTACACAAACACAAGAAGAAGAGATTTAGTGTGTCGCTGGTTTGGTTATTTTTCACAGAATCAGTCGTTATTTTTGGCAAATGTTTTAAGTAAGACGTGCAGAATAAAGCAAGTGTGATGAGACATGAGTTAAGGCTTATTTCTGGTAAACTAAATGTCACACAAGTTGAAATCTGACAATTTTCTCCAGTTTTACAGTTTCTAGCTCTGATAAACGGTGTCATTTTGTTGATTTTGTTTAAAGATACCAGGTTTTTACAAGCTGGTCAGACGGGTCACTGAAGGCTCTTGAGTTACACAAACACTCCAAGAAGAAATTTAGTGTGTCGCTGGAAATCTGGAATGATGTCGTAGAACGTAAGTGACGGGAACTCGTGGAGCCTCGGCCCACATACCAGAACAGTATCAGCCTGGCGTTCTGGGTGGAACCTGCGGCGGGTTTCGGCCCCTCAGACAGTTCTGACCTTCACAGCACATCAGCAGGTGATGACGGGAGGACGGGCAGAAAGCCGGCCTGCGCCAAAACATACAAGCACACGTGGCTTCTCCGATAGAGCCGCCGGTCCAAACCCAACCTCCCGACGTGGTTCTCCCCTCCCCGGCCTCACCTCGCCTCCCCATCCCCCGCCTCCCCTTCCTCTCCGTCTGACAGTCGTGGCACCGTGAAAAGTTCAGAGCTGTCAGGGGGAATGTCAGACGACTGCGTTGGAGCTATCTGCTGAACACACAAACCGCCTCACACACGCGTGAGACGGATGTTCTCGCTTTCTCGCCGCCGTTATTTTCCCGAGACGCGGGCGCACATTTGACACACGGGGTCGCGCTGCTCGCTTAATTATTATAAACCTCCTTTTTCAGATCTGTCTGTCGCAGGAGAGAGAAATTTAGTTTTGTATCCAGGATGACAGGATACTTTGATTCATTTGTTGATTTAGTCGCCCCAAAAACTCATCTCTGTGTATCAAACTTACGTGCATGAAAATGATCCCTTCTTCCCCTAAAATGCTTCATTTTTGTCATTTTCTGTGACGAATCCACAAGAAAAGTGATGAAACATAATTGATTTAAGGGTTCTTGGATACAAGAAATAGTTTTTAGAAGACAGTTTGTTGACATTCAGGCTCCACCTGTGCACAGAGCACTGGAGACGGAC